ACCCTGGTCTGATGCGTCGTCCCACCTGACTTGTCACTCCTTTGTCAGCGAGCGCTTTTGCCTTTTTTTACGCGTCTTCTCCGAAATCATCCATCTTGTCAGGTACAGTAACACTACTCCAGCATGTAGAACTCTATCCCCCCAACAAGGCACTCCCATCAGCTAATAGCCTCTTAATAGGTTGGTGTGCCCCATTTCAGGTCCCAACTGGTGAATCCTACACTGTTTTGGTTCGGTTTTTCTGTGTTCACAGGTGTAAGCGGACTGCTGTGGCTGAAGTCTTTTGTGCAGGTGCACGTGGCTGTTGTAATGAAGATGGCACAAGTCTGCCTTAGGTCAGGTGTTGCAGACCTCAGGCATGCTGCTGTCTGACACATGATACTGCTCGCTTAAAAAAACTTTCCACAGAGAAAACCCAGCAGATCCCTCTGTGCCTTAGTTAACATTTTTGCACACTCCCACTCCTTCCTTTTAATTTTGCAAATCCCAAGCCCCTAATATTCCTGCACTTCTAACAGTTCACAGCATTCCCTCCCTGCAGACTCTTGGAATTTGACTTCTTGCCCAGCTCTTTTCCCTGATCATTCATTTTTGGTTTGGTAGGAAAATTTAGTGGATGTGAACGCTAACTGATACAGACCATGCTGATTTCAGTCTTACCCAGTATGACCCAGCACAGAAGTCTTCTAACACAACTCCATGAAATAAAGCAGAAAGCTTCCACTGTCAAGTGAAGACCTTGTGCCTGTCACCTTACATTCCCCCCAAGGCTACTCCACTTGTAAAAATAGATAGGACGTGATCGGGAATCCTTTAATGAAAGGCATTCTGTCCAACCGATCTGAGGCACTGCAGATCCTACAGATACGATTGTGTATATAAATTGTTTTATGTTCAAATCTTAATTCCACATCCTGTCTGCAGGGCTTGCCCTTTGTAATAGCCACCGGCTACATGTAGTTGGGTAGTCATGGCTGTAAGTCTTTCACAGCCAAAGCAATAGATAAAGCCAACTGAAATGTAAGAGTTCAGAAAATCAGTGAAGAGGGGATTCCTCTTTACCTCATGTTGAGTTTAAAAATTGACTAGTTAAAACTCTTTACTAGCATTCAAACAGATGTTGGCAAGAAAAATGTTGGCCTTCTGCTTTTCTGTCTAGAAATATCATGATGACAAGAATTAACTGGTCTACAGACACAGGCGACATTTATTGCTATAGAGTGTACTGGATGCTATAGAGATAAGGATGGATTGAATTGGGTGCAACAAAAATATATTGACTATATAAAAACATTATACCATTGGTGAGAACATCATCAAGGTCTTTATTTTTGTACACATCTTTGCCGTGACTTGAGTATGAAAATGTGCAACTTTCCTTCAGGTCAATAATTTGTGTATTTACAAGTTTTGTTCCCTTCCTGTGTCATTCTCTTTGAACTTCAGTAAATACAAACCTTTCGTCAGGACTTCACTCAAACATTCATATCCACTCCTTCTCGGACACACTATCAGTTTCGCCCTTTTGGAAACACAAACCTTGATGTTGCTACATTCCACAGGCTCCAGCCCAGTGACCAGGTGGGACATTCAAGGCCAGTCACTTCAGCAGGCCTGAGTCTGTCCAGATCACCACACAGGAAAACTCCGGTCCCCACGTGACGGGGTGACCTTCCTTCTCATCAGGATCGTCTGCTGACTTGGTGACGGTTTGTCACAAGTCTGTCAACGTCCTTTCCTCCTGTCCGTTATGACATGGTCTGGGTGTTCTGTCCATCTTCACAAGTGTAGGTGTCTGCTCTAGAGATATCTAGCTACAGTACTGGTACAATACTACTATTTTACGTATAATTAGGTATAGGTCCAAAATACTGCGTCCATGTACAGGTACTGTACCTAATACTAGTCGAATTACACTAAAGTCTACATTTTCTTACTACAAATGAGCAATTGCTACCAATTTATCACCGGGAAAAGACAAAAACATTGTTTGGGCATTGAAGTAAGAACCATCCTTGATTTAAGATCGTCTCTCGAGAGTTATTTGTCTGTATGAGGCACTGAAAGCCCAAATAAACATTCTGTTTACTGTCCTATCATCATTGTAGACCGCAGGTTACTTTGTTGAAATATTCAGGTCCAGGTACCAATCCGGGCTTAAATCACTGTACAGGTACTTGATGTTAGATTTACTAGCAGCCCTACATCTGACGGTAGCCTGGGTACCATCCATATCTACTTCGATAGGCAATATACCCACCAACGATGGGTAACAACTAATAGAGCAGTGGACAATAGCCAGGATGGTGCCCAGGCTAATTCTCAAGCCACAATGGTTGAAGTAGCAAGCAATTCTGGGACATCAGTCAACTGAAAGACAGGTTCAATGGGTGATCACGACTGTTGTCATTGAAGGAATGTCCACTCTTACATATAATAAACCTGTGTAACCAGTAAAAATGTGTGTTGTGGATTTTGTTTCATACTAATATAAGATGCAATTAGTTATGATACAAGATACAATTTATCCTAAAGCATGACAAAACATATTATAGTTGATCTACAGCTACTTCTAAATATCAGGACGATCACATTTGCATTTTGTAGAAGTTTAAGATAACCTTGTCTGTCAAATATACAGAGATACAGTACCGTTCGCGTTATAGTTAACCGGGTACCCCGTTACTAACGAGTTATTTTTTCGTCAGAAAATGGTTAGAAAATCGTCAGTATTTGGTTAGATTTTCGTCAGAAAATGGTTAGAAAATCGTCAGAAATTATTTCTAACGCGTTACCGTTTGCGTTAATGTGATAGGGTCGGATTTCATGTTTGTTTTGCGCGCCGACAAGACAATAGCAATTTGCCACCTCCTGGGGCGTCCGCTAATGTGTTGCGATGTTGCCCCTTGAAAAATAACAGCACCAGAGGCAAGTGGACATGTGATTCGTAAAATAACTTTGTGGTTTATCCATGTGTCGACTGTGTGAAGCGAATTGTGCTATCTTTTAATGCTATTCTATAGTTATTTCTAGCGGAAAATTACGTTGTGTAATACAATGTATGTCAACAAAGTGTAGCAGTGGGCAGACGATGGGCCTACCGCTCTCACAGGACGTCATGGGACGTGACGAAACAAGAAATATCTGCCGTAGAAGAAATATAAATCGGTAACTCATGCCTTAAATTCACGGCGGTTTTGGACACAAAAGAAAAATTATTATAATTTTTGTAAGGCGCGCGGCTTACTAGTACTAGCGGCACGGTAAAATGTACCGTCACTCCCGGCGCAAGGACTCGGTTCGCCAGCTGAGGACTTTCCACAACCATGATGATATCATAGTTAATAAAGGAATATATAATAGATCTATCATGTTGAAATGATAATTGTAATACATGGTTCTATTTAATAGCGGTAGTTTTGTTTCTTATTTTGAGGGGGGAAACTGTCAAAAATCGAGGGAACGCAAACTGAGATCGGCTCACTTCCGGGTGCATAACGCCAAAATTTCTCGACGATTATATAAAAATGACCACTCATTTGCCGCCTACGGTAGCGTGTACATGGTAGTGCGATCACATCGTGCCAAAGTCAGCGTCAAACGTCAGAAAATCCCCGTAAAAATATAGTTGCAAAACACATTTCCCGCGCACTCAGGGCCGGTCGCCCTGGCCGCTGCCGTCCTGTGTGCAGCATGCTCATTATAATATGCAAGTAGCTACGTTCTGATTGGTTCACCTTAGATGACCTGCGCTGTGATTGGCTAGAACGAAGCCCGTTGCATGCTGGGGCGCCCTTCCCCGCGCGAAATGATCTCGAGAGAGCCACATTTACGCTGGTTTCTACCTTATTTCTACTACTAATTAGCAACATCCTAGTGACGAAATGCGTACTCAAAAGAATTTTCGGGAAAAAAAAATATATGTACATGTGGATTTGTGGTGCCTTTGGCGTAATTTTGTTGGTCACATACAACGTAATGTAACACGGAAGTGCATGGAGTCGGAGTGGCGGCACGGCTTTCCGTCCCACTCTAAACAAAACTCCAAGGACATAACAAAACTCCCCAAAACTGGTCAATAATTAGCCATAGAAATGTTGGTGGGCACGTGTAAATATGCTGCCTTTTTTCGAGTGTTATAGGAATTTTCCACGATGTTTTTGCACATCCCTAACGTGTAATACCTCACGCCCGCCGCCTATTATGTACGGCGGACCGGGGCATTTATAACTTCAGATCATCTAGGTTTGCTTATTCGGTGGTAAAATAAGTTAACAGAGAAAAACAGCAAAACAAAGTTGACAAACTATAGAAACGCTTGCCTGGGCAACAGTGACAAAAGAAAATGTCTATCTAATTGAATTGCGCCGGTGATCGTAAAACGTTTTAAACGTTACAATATAGTAAAATGCAGGCTAGATCAACGTTCCTTCCGCTGTTCCAGCGGTGTGTATCGGTAATTTCCCGCCCCGCATGAGGTAAATTAGTACTCCTCCCATTATTCTGTGATGTTACCGCGGCCTGCATATGAATGCAGAAGTCTAACGGAAAAGTAACGGAAAAGTAACGGAAAACTTACGCAAAAGTTACGGAAAACTTACGGAAAAGTAACGGAAAAGTAACGGAAAAAAACGCGTTAGTAACGGCCGTTAGGGTAACTATAACGCGAACGGTACTGTAAAATAGTACAATTTGTGTCCTTCTTTCAAGTCTTTATTTAGGGATGCTTGGAAACTGTGTGATTAACTCCATTTTTCTTCTATAATGATGCTGCCAGTAAAACTTTTAATTCAGTTAATGCCACAACTTGGGGGCTTCATACGGCACAAGACGTAGCAGCCATCTTATCATCTCAGATGTACATGTGGATTAGTGGTTGAAGATCCTGTTTCATGTTGCCATGGCACAGTCTGAATGTCTGACATTTCTCCCACCAATACAATTTCCAACGTCACTGCTCAGTTTATAGTTTTG